CATCCTAAAACTTAGAAATTTTTATTAACAAATTCTAGGTTTTGAAGGCGAGCAGTGGCAACAACTTTCGAAACAAAGCAGAGTTTGATCTCGAGCTTGCGAGACTGTTGCCACTAAGAAAAATGGGGGCGAAAATGATCGTTTTTCCAGATTTTTAAGTAATATCTCTGATTTTAGGCATTTTTTTCGGAAAAAAGTGAACGTCGACCTTTTCCAGGACTCAGAAAAGAATTTTAGAAAGTTTGGTGACGATAGCTATAGTAGTGACTGATTTATTAGCGAACAAACACACAGACTTTCTTCTTTATATATATAGATATGTTTAAATGTACTTCATTTGATAATTCCTTATCTGGAGATAAAATTGGTTAAACCTTGATGAAAAGAAAAATTTTTCAATTTAGTTCCGACATTTCGTTTATAATTTATATAATATGTATATATGTATGTAAAGAAGTTTCTTAAATTCATCCCCAGACTGTTTTCCAGCAAAATTGGGATTTCGCAAACTACAGTTGCTGCGGTCTTATTCAAAAATAGGTACTTAAGTTTTGTTTATATAAGGTTTCCACATCTATATAATGTGCACAGGTTTTATTCAAAAAAGGCCCGTAACATATACTCCTTCTGTCCTATAATAATAGTAGAAGTAGATGAATTTTATTTGTACCTTAGTAAAAGCAGGAGCGGAAAATAGATTCAGAATTCAATATTTATTATTTGTTGAGATATTTGTAATCGCATTCTTATTGGTAATTAGAAGTATAGCTTTCTGTCACGTCCGATACATACATTAGCTTTCAACCAGGTCCGAATTATTCTGAAACTTAATCCCATTCTTTGTTATTTTTTATTGGTTATTTATTGTGTCTTGTTTATGATTTGTTAAACCATGATCTGTTGTAAAGTTATTTATACGACCTCTGTACTAGTTTAGCAGCGAAGTAAGCAGAGATAAGCCCTTGTCTTGTCTTGTCTTTTGAATGGTTAGGAGGCAAAAAGCAGCAGAGGCTGCTAATTGCCTCCTAACCATTTAAAAGACAAGACAAGACAAGGCTTATCTCTGCTTACTTCGCTGCTAAACTAGTGTGGCCTTTCCATCACCGCCTCGCCGATTGAAGAACGGCCTATCTCAATTCAAAACTCAATCACCAGTCTCGAACAGCTCACCAACGAACTCTAGTTCCTGATATGCCTGCATATGAAACATAGAAAATTCGCGCTCTGAAACTATAACAAAGCATATGATCTTATTATTATCTCTGCTTGTATTATTCTGCTTGTGCTTATCTCTGCTTGCTTGTATTTCTTTGCATGTAACTCTGCGTGTATCTCTGCATATCTCAGTAATAAATATTTGCTTTGCGAACCACGGCATTTTCTATGTTTAACATTATTAAGACAGTAAATTAAATCAAACAATAAATGAAAATATTACTCTTAATTTTTATTTTGAGTGTTCAGGAACGTTTTGCATTTCATCATTGCTTCCAGCGTAACTTGTTGAAGTGAGAGGAACATATCATTCAGCGCTGTTTATAGTAGTTATTATGTGTTGTTTTTAAATATTTTGTGATTTTGCTGTCAAATCGAGTTTTATGTGGCGTTGCGCCAAGAACGTGATATTTAATAAATAAAGTATACTCACAAAACGTTAATAATAAAAGGAAAAAAACAGTTTTGTATCACCATCTTTGCAAGAAACCTGAACATTGATATGATGAACTGAGAAAAAAAGACTGGAAAAAAAGGTTTCAGATTTCAAATTACGTCCAAATAGGCGCTTTATGAAAACGCTTTACGCGTTTTGTGTGTTACCTTTCTTTATTAAATATCATGTTCCTCGCACTTAAACCATAAGATCCAGTGCAACAGCAATATCGCAAAATAATTTTAAAATGAGCATATCTTTAGAATTTCCGATATATAGTTCCGCGCGCTGCAGATAAAATAAAAAGGTCCCCCCTTAGAGTTTTTCCATTGCTCGCTTTTAAATCGTTGAGTTTGTTAATGGAAAAGTCGTTACATTTTTACAAAATATGAAATTGATAATAAAACATATTCTAAATTTCAAATTTGGGCGTTCAGATAACCATATTCGCAGTAGGATTACATCATTCAAAACTGGATGGCTCTAGGTACCGTTGCTTTATCACAATGCGAGAAAGCTACAAACATTTATGCAGATTCTTCATTATTTAATGTCTTCAAATATAATGCAGGTTGGTGGCAACGATTTGAAAAATGATACAGCCTTTAAAGTTTTCAACTCAAAATATCGCAAAACGAAAACAATATTCCTTCAGGGACTAAAAAAAAAAAAGAAAATGTATACCAACACCGAATAAAACCAAACAGAAAAAATGTATGCAACTGCATCGCGAATTCTAAACGTATATTACTATTATGTTTCTTTTAAAAGTTTTGCAATTTTACTCTTGAATTGTACCTGCCGTAAGTGCGATGAAAATCATGCTTAAGAATAAAGCTACAAAGACAAAAAGAATGGTTTCATAGGTGTGAATGTAATAGGAGACTGGTACACTGCGAGCCCTGCGAGAACGTAAAAAACCTTAACCTTCGGGCGACAGTTAAAATTTGATAACTTTCAGATCTTTATTATCGTTAATTTTACTTCAATTATCTAGCCGTGTTCCGCTAAATTTAGGATCAAATCACAAATTTCATGACTACTAATCTCTTCTTAATTACACAAATCGTGATTAGCAAGAATAATTCGAAGTCAAGAATGCCTATACTATAGATTTCCTTTCTTTCCAGTTCACCGGATATGCGTCACATCATCAGTGGGGGACGGTAGGCCAGATGTAGCGTGGCCTTCCAGAAACAAAAAGTTCTGGAAGGCCACGGATGTAGCGGAACAATTAATTCTCACCCTCCTAAATCACGGGTCTCCCTTTCTACTGCAGGGAATTTTTTCTCTCCTTTTCCCCCTAAGGGCACCGCACTCGGCGTCTTCATTATTCCCACCCTTAATGCATGGCATTTCACTTCACAAACCCTTATTTCCTTTACGCGGAAGGATAATTTCCCAAGTCTTTATTGAGAAGCTGGGAATTCATATACACAATTCTTATGCTGATAGTACTGGGAATTTTATGCTTTAGGGAGTACGGTTGCTTGCAGATAAATCTGAAGCGTTTGCTGGGAAATTCGGTGACGGATGGAGGACGCATAAAGTCAGGTTAATTTTAATTATTTACACTGAGGAAAAGATAAGAAATTAACGGGTTAAATGGAATGTTTTTTCTTGACATTGTTAGCATGAAAAGTGGTACTAGAAATAGCAAACTTTTTAATTGAAATTATTTAAATTAATTACAATTAAAGGGAAATAGTGAAGCACATGGAAAATTATATCTTCAAGTTGTGGACCGATTATGTCTAACCGGAAAATTATGTCACGCACTTTCAATGCTAATTTCAGGAGATACGTCAAGGTTTGTTGCAAGCAGGAAACAAATCCACATTGGGTCACCAATAAACATGCACAAATTTCTATAATACTTTGATGTTTCTACCGGCTTGAGCAATTTATTAGATGTAGAGATACAAATCTATAAGGTATTTCTTCCGCCTTTTTAGCATGCCTTCGTAGTGTAGTGGTCAGCACGCTCGGCGCGTATTCGAGAAGCCCGTGGTTCGAATCCCGGCGAAGGCGTTGCTCATTTTTCATCTCTCTTGCTTCCAAAAATATATAATTCGTCTACACTGGCGCCCAAACTAAAAGATGGTGAATGATAATTCTTCACCCTCAGGATTTGGAGATTGGGTCCCCTAAATACCCATTCGTCCTTTAAAAGGGGGAGTATATAAGGTATTTCTCCCGCCTTCTTAGCATGCCTTCGCAGTGTAGCGATCAGCATGCTCGGTGCGTATTCGAGAGGCCCGTGGTTCGAGTCCCGGCGAAGGGGTTTCTCATTTTTCACTCTCCAGCTTCAGAAAACCTAATGTCTCTACAGTGGCGCCCGAATTAAAAAAAGGTGGTTGATGGTGATTCTCCGCCACCAGGATTTGGCGATTGGGTCCCCTAATCCCCAGTCACCCTTTAATGGGGTGAGAATATAAGGTATTTCTTCCGCCTTCTTAGCATGCCTTTATAGTGTAGTGGCGCGTATTTGAGAGTCCCGGCGAGGGCATTGCTCCTTTTTTATATCTCTTGCTTCGAAATAACCTAATGTCTCTACAAACTTACAATAAATTATTATTAAGATGAAGATATAGTAATCAAATAATTATTAGTAGAACCATTTCAAGACAAAACTTTTTCTTTACTTATGCCTTTAATTTGTCAAACGTTAATCCATGCATTGTATGCATTTCTTCAATTTTACAAAAGAATCTTTGAATTTTTCATTCGGATATTTTAATTCAGTTTAATAAAGTGTAAGGTTATAATTTTACATAAGCAGTTTATTATTATTATTATTATGTCTTTACTGTCATTTCTCCCTTCTATTTCCCTAACAGAATGCAAATTTAGTTTAAGAGCATTTAAGTTGAAGTTGTTCCGAGAGATAGGGTTGTATTATTGGGCTTCGCGTTATAGCTGCCGACATTTAAATTGTTACTCCAGCGAAACGTATTTGAGCCAACTTAGCGTTAAATAAATTGTATAGACTTTGGCTACTAAGTTTTAAATCTTGAAACTGGCTGTTATTTTAAATTATATCACCACAAGTGGCTGGCTCATTCGTCAAGTACGGGCTATGTACGGGCCATTTATATTCCAGTTCTGATTTGATGAAAAGTTTTGTTTTAAAACCTTCCTAAGACTTGTAGTTCTTTTCAGACGAGAGAGTAATTCGCTCCAAGTCTTCGAGGAGTTAGTTTATGTTACTAAAGAAACGCAAACTTTAAAAAATCCATGTTTCTTTTCTCCTTTCGTGGGCCATTTATTTTTCTTTTGAATTTCTCCCGTTTTTTCTTTTATGTTTTATTATCAACTAAACAATAGCATTTAAGGAAATATATTTTATTTTGCCAAATTTTTTGTTTACATTTAAATTCTAGGGGTGGGAAGTATACTTCCCACGGGACCTTTTATGGTCATAGAACAAATTCAATTTAAAGGTGATTATTTGCCGTAAAAAAATGAGAAACATGTTGAATGCACAAGGGTGCATCACATACTGCACACATATAGCGGGTCCTCTTTTCTTGGGCCTTTGTGCTACATTTCTTACATCGTCTATAGTTGGAAACCATCTTTGGCATATGAGTTCCCACATTGACTAAGCGTATATCATCCGGAACTGCACACCTTTTTGCTTGGAAGCTAGCAGGACGGCCTTTCCTTTTTCGAGGAATATCCGTCTATTAGTTGACTAGCTAATGCTATACGGAATGTTGGCTGGTCTAAACTTCTGTTTCTCTTGTTTACTTGCCACAGTATAAAACTATTTGCGATGATAAGATCAATAAGAAAATCAAAAATACGATGCCACCATTCTACAGATCTTCTTCCTATTTGGTATCTTTCTTTTCTTTGATCGAAGCAATCAACCCCTCCCATGATATCGTTATATACTGCAACAGCTGTAGGGCAAGGTACTTCTGTTTTAGTACCATACTTCTGTGTACGATTTATAGATGTAATAATCGCGGAATTGTGTGTAGTAGTCAACAATGTAACAGCCTTTTTGTCCATCCATTTTATTGCAGCAACACCTTCTTTAGTTAGAAACACTGATTCCCCTCTTTGCAGTTTGTTATTAGCCTTCAGCATTGGTAGAAGATCCTTCCTTTGCGGCCTCACAGTCCCCACAGAAAACAGACCAATTATAAGTAGACTTTTTCCGAGCCTAAAAGATGTCAAATAGTTATCATAGGCTATAAGATGACCTGTCTGTTTCACATCTTCCGTTAGTTTAGTTTGTTTCCCCTAAGCTCAATATTTTACCCTTACTATCAGAAGTTTCTTTTCCACAATAAATTTCAAATTTTTGAATATATCCAGTCTTAGAGTCTGCTAAACACCACACCTTGTAACATCTTTTTATAGGCTTCATTGGCATATACTGCTTCAATGAAGTTCTCCCTTTGAAAGCTATCATACATTGATCTATTCATAATGTTGACGAAGGTTCGTAGACTTTAGGTATGGAATCATTGAGCTGTGAGAGGATTGGTCTGACTTTATCGAGTTTATCATGCCCAAGTTGCCCACATAGATTTGTGCTGTTATCGTTTTCGATTTTTGTAAAATCTCAGTTACTTTTTTGAACCTCTTTGCGATTATTATTCTTGCTACTGATTGAACATTGAGAATAGGGTCTGTGCTGAGTAGTTTTTCAGTTCAGGCAATTGATGTTTACCCATGAGTATATGCATACCTACCCATTTTCTGATGTGATTTCTTTCCAGTTCAGAATAATGTCTTTTGTGGTATGACCCAATCTCTTCCTTTTCTTAGGCTGTTTTGCATATTGAGTTTCGTCAACAATATTCTGTAAAATTTCCTCGGTAAAAATCATGCCAAAATAATCCTTTTCTTTCTCAGTAGAATTGAATGATATTTCCAAATGTATTTTCAAAAATATTCTAATTTTTCCAACATACCTATTGCACGTGGATTTTATACACAATGCAATAGCATTTTCACTTTCCACCCATTATTTATTATTCAATATTAGATAGTTCTTAGAGAAATATACAAAATAAGAGAAAGTTATTATAATAAAAACAGTGTTTTACTTACATTTGTAGCAGAATCGTATAGCAATGCAAATGTCAAATCAAAACAGGTGTCTCAGTGGAACAGATCTCAGACAACGCGTTCGAACTTTCAAAACAAATGTGGTAATTCTGTTTTCAATCGATTGAACACAGATGGCAGCACAATACTGAAGTGGGAATTAGAGTTCCCAACGTTATAATACCAAAGCCAGTGGGTTTTGCGCTTCCCACAGGTGTATTTTCCAGGATCATGTAGATGGGAAGTAATCTTCCCACGGCCCACGAAAGGGTTATGTTACCAAAGAAAAGCAAACTTTAAAAAATCCATGTTTATTTTCCACTAAACAACGAATGATATGAATACACAATAGAATATAGATCTAAGTTAAAGTTTTAGCTTGAAAAAGGATCCAATATTCACAAAAGTATACACTATAATAACTCATCACGAGGAAATAGCTGCATAAAGAGGAAGATTGTATCATTTACATCTGCCGCATAGCATGTGCATTTAAAAATTTTTGTGAGATTTCAAAATTCATTTTAATTTAAAATATAATTACCAAATCACAAATATTTAATGAATGTGTTTTAACATGATGTTTTGAAAACAGAAAACTGATAAATAAAAAAAATAAAAAATCTGAAATGTTTCAGATTTTAAATTGCGTCCAAAGGGGCGTTTTTTAACATTTTGTGTGTTACCTTTCTTTATTAAATATCATGTTCCTCGCACTTAAACCATAAGATCCAGTGCAACAGCAATATCGCAAAATAGTTTTAAAACGAGCATATCTTTAGAATTTCCGATGCAGAGACTCACGCGCTGGAGATAAAAATGTTTTTTTCTGCACAACGTTGCCATTGCTCGCTTTGAAATCCTTGAGTTTGTTAATCAAAAATCGTCAAAGTTTTAAAAATAGGAAATCGATCATAAAACAAATTTCAAATTTCAAATTTGGTCTTCCACATGCTCATATTCGTTGGAGGATTACGTTATTCAAAATTCGATGACTCTATGTACCGTTGTTTTATCACAATACGAGAAATATACATACATTTATGCAGATTTTTCATTATTTAATTTCTTCAAATATAATGCAGGACTCTAAAATTTTGTGGCAACAGTTTGAAAAGTGAACCGACATTTATGAGTCCGACGCAAAATGCCAAAACGAAACTAATAGTCCTTCGGGATTCAAATCCCTTTGGACTAATAAATAAATATAGTTTTGCGGAACCCTTGAAAACATTCCACTAAACCCAAGATCTGTAGAACCCATTTAGGATATCCATAAGCTACTTGAGCAAGAAAGAATTTTCACTAATGTCTACATAAATTTGACGCGCACGTTGATCTTAAAATTATGCAGAATATTAAAAGCTGCTAGGATTCGGCAACGAGCAATTTGGCTTTAATTTACCAACCATCCGCAGGTATCGCCAGGTAACAAATTCTTATACTTTTGACTACTTAGGGTCATTAGTAAGCAATGGTGGGCTCATACACAAAATTCCTTTTCGTTAAACTCAGTAAAACAATGATGCACATTAATGCAAGTACAAACAGGCAAACCGATTTTGGAAAATACGAGAGAAAGTAACATCATAATTTTCTTTACCATCAGTAAATAATCACTTGATTCCCGTCGTATTTATATATGTAATATCCAGTTCAGTGACAACACAGTGTGAAATCTGGCATGGGGTATCATCAAATGGAAAGCTAGGGAATATAAATTTGGATGGAACGCTGTCTATCTCTTTTTTTCGCACATCGGAAAAACGATCTCTCCCCCTCTTTTCAAAAAACTCCAGCTATATTTAGAGGAGAGGGAGTCTAAGATCGGAAGCAACGCAAATGCCTACTTTCCTTGTGGTCCTTAGGAAAAAAGAAAAAATGGATGGGCTATAAGCGACCGTTCAAAGAATTTTAAGAGGAGGTGCCTGGGCAGGAAGTGTAAAATTAGCCCCAATTTTCTGTTTTAAAAGTTGTGTTTAAGGTCATTTTTCGGGAATGAATTGATTTAAATCTACTCTGCAGTGAATCGATAAGAAGAAAAAAGCAAGTTTTTATATCATTATTCAGTTGTTTACTTACGTATGTACTAGTATTTGCATTTTTTCACCATCTCGCCACAAGGAATGCTTTAAATCTAATACATAATGTGAATATTAAAATTTTTTCATATGCGTTCTGTAAATGTGTATCGAATATATGTTTGTTGCCATGTTATAGCTGTTTTCTTTAAATTACATTGTAGAGTTATTAGGATTCTTGATGCAGGAGACGCGAAAATTGTGCATTGACCTCGCTGAGATTTGAAATCCGGACCTCGCGAGTACGCATCGAGTTACACCACATCTCCTCCGGAGAGATGTGTTTCGAGAGAGGTACTCCCGAATTCTAAAAATTCGTGGGAAGCCATTTCGACCATCCTTATCTTCGTAACGAATTTAATCAACCGTGATAGTGACTAATAACTCTGAAAACACTCATTTTCGTACTCATTTTTCCGAATGCCAACAGTCTCGCACGCTGGAGATGAAAATTCGCTTTATTTCGAAAAGTGTTGCCACTGCTCGCTTTCAAATCGTAGAGTTTGTTAATAAAAAATTTGTAAGATTTACAAAATACTAAAAAATAGCATTGCCAAACATTAAGGGGACTCGTACATTTTAAACCCCTCATGATCTTTGAATATATGACTGCTGCAAGAATTGGGATATTTTATTTATTTTAAAAGCAATTACTTCCAACTTTCTACAGCTGATTTACATAATACAGCTGCTTTAGAAACTAGTAACCAGAAAGTTTGTGTTGCCACAAATGTTTTTGTAATTTAATCCTCTTTGTGACAAAATATTTTGCCATATTTCCACCTTGCGCGCATGATATTTTAAAAATGGCTAATGGTACATACTTGAAATTGGATGGAATTCTTTATATGGGCACTATTTTCGAACTGAACCAACAATCTGATAAATATTTTAATATTGAAAAATTTTATGGACGAAAACATTACAAATTTTGTTAATAAAATACATTTTATAAATGGAACTCAAAATAAAATAAAAATTGAACATGAAATTTTTAGAATTTTAGGTTCACAGTAGTTTCCAAATGTTATAAAAGCTATATATTAAATATGGAATTAAATTATGAAACAGAATGTTTTAAACTGTGTGCGCAAGTTGGAAACATGACGAAAAATGTTGTCACAAAGCGGATTAAATTATAAAAATATTTGTGGCAACACAAACTTTCTGATGACGATTTCAGAAAGCAGCTATATTATGTAGTCAGCTGTAAAAAATTGGAAGTAATTTCTTTTAAAATCAATAAGTAATCCAAATTCTTGCAGCAGTCACCTATTCGAACATCTTATGGGTTTTAAGGTGTATGAGTCCTCTTAAATACATTATTATAATGTAAGGTCATGTTCTGACGTTGAAGAAAGCACGCGATTTCATGTGACGTCATTGAATACCGAAAATTTCTCGTTAATGTCAGCATTTTAAATAAATAGCTGCTTTGGGCAACTTTTTTGTTTCATATTAAGATAATTGACTGATTAAGATTAACATACTGATTAACTTATTTCCACGTTAATTCTTTTATTGGTATTGAGATAAAGTTGTTATATCACATTAAATTTAAATCATGACGTCATACGCATACGTATTATCCTGAAGTGTTAGAAGTTTATGTTTAATGGTTTGGAAACAAAAATTATTAATGAATTGGTTGTTGCTTGGAAAAAATATTCTGATTACATTCATACTGAAATGTTTTTATGCATTTTCATTTCATGTATACGTAGAACTTATAAATTTTGCTTTGGCCACACCCCGCTCATCTGCCCACTACTAGTACTAATAAAAGTCGTTATAATTGTGATTGTAAATAATTGCTATAGTACTAATAAAAATCGTCGCAGTTTCAAATAAGAATGCATTACTACTAATTTGAGACATAGTGTTAATAAAATCGATTGTGGTTAAAATTTCGTATAAAACTTCAGGGTTATATTTTTTCCCTAATTATTTGTCAGTAGTTGATATTAAAAGTGCTTTTTTGGCTCAGTAAAACGTTGCAAAACTTTCACTTGAGTTAATTGGATTTTGTATTACAATTAATTAATGGTGGATCATGCCGATAGTTTTGTCAACAATATTTTCGACCCTAATCAAGCTATTGTAAACGCTTTTCTCTTGACCCTTATGCTATTTATTTTAATCTAGAAAAAACATTTTTTACTCCGTAGAACTCTCTCTTAGGCTTCTACTAACTTTAAAATTTGAAATTTATTGCTTAAATTAATACAGTATTGTTATTTTTTAAATGAATTTTGCTATTTTTTAAATGTAGTATTGTTATTTTTTAAATGAATTTTGCTAATTATTGGGGTAAGATTAAACATAAAACTAAGTTTAAAAAAAATCAACTTAATAGATAATTTTATTCTAAATTGTATAAAGTCATATTCGTAGTTATTTTAGATTTTATGCTTTATGAAAGGTACTAAAAACGTCTTTTAATATAGTGTATTAGGATTAAATTGACCAATTTTAAGCTGAAATAAAAAAAGTAGAAAACTATTTTGTTAAATAAATT